GGTCGCTCCAGTGGGATCAGCGTTGAGGTACCTTAAATATATCTTTCATCTCTGGCTTTCTCAGCATCTCCTCTGTGACGATGTGGTCTGCGCCCAAGGCCATCAGCCTCTCCACCAGCTTTGGGAGATCAGGTCTGGGGGAGGAAAAAACCAAAAAGGACTCGATGAGCCAGAAAGTAGTGTCACCTTCTCCTCCCTCCTGCGCAGACGTAGCTTGGGGACAACAGGGCAGAGGCTGGAGGACACCTTGGAGGAGCAAACAGGAGAAAATCCTGGGTTGGATGGGCAGGATGACCAGATCCAGCTCCCAAGCTTGCCTGACCTCCTGCCAACCTCCAGCCCAGACCAAGGGCAGCTCCTGCCCCGCAGAAGACCTTCTCCTCTCTCAGGGGACCCACCTGTCCCTCACCACGTTGATGGTCTTGATGCCGAAGGCTTTGGCGATCTGGATAACAGCCTGGCCCACGCCGCTGTTGGCCGCGTTCTGGATGACGGAGTCACCTGGATAGAAATAAATCCAGATTTTCATTGCAGAAGCAACGGGCAAATCCACCCGGATTTCTTTCCACCCAGCAAAGCCGTACCCGGCGCCAGGGTCTCGAAGTCGGTCAGCATGCGGTACGCCGTGCAGGGGTTGACGCTCAGGGTGGCGGCGCACAGCACCGGGATGTCGCTGGGCACCTTCAGCAGCGTCTCCTCGGGGAACACCCCCTGCGTCCGCCACGTCCCTGGGTACCAGCAGCACGGCAGGCAGCGCGGCGGGAAGGTGGGCAAGGAAAGGAAAATGTTATGAGACCACCACTCATGCCATAGCCTTAACGCCGGTCGCGGCAGCATCGCCACGCCATGCACTGTCTAAATCCCAGAGAGTGAATTATGAAACATTTTCCTGTTCGGGTACGGCCAAAATATTGCGAGAGGCAGGGGATGGATCCCCCGTGGCCTGCTGAGATTTATCACCCAGCAAAGTCTAATCGTTTCCCAGAGGGATAACGGGACCGGAGCTCCCTGGGCACAGGGAGTATGTGCAGAGCTAATGGAAATACTCCCCATCCTATGGATGAGCCCGTATATTCAAAGCCAATTTACTTAGATTTAGTCTCTCTATATTTATATCCGATTTAACCCCCTATCATCCATTTACTTTTTTTTTTAATGTTTAAAAATATCACATTTGGATCTTAACTAGATAGCTTTCCTTCCCCCATTAAGCAAAAAAGCCTTTTAAGAAGAAACAGGCAAAGAACAAGCTGTTACACTAAACCAGAAGTGACAATTTTTCTGGCCATTGGCATTCTGGAGGAGCACAAGAGACATTTGTTGGAAAATAAATTCCCATGCTTTCCTATCAGAGCACTATTAAGGAGAAAACTGTAATAAGATACAACCATGACCTTGCACAGGTTAAATGCTTTATCCTGGGTCTTTAAAGAAGCTCTAAGTAGATGTGACAAAACGCGGTTGTTTCCAGAGAAGCACAGATTGCCGCGATGCTTTATAACGGCGCAGAAGCCCCATAAAGGGTCTATGCTATAGAAAAGTACATGATTTCTAAATTCAAGTTTAGCATAAGCAATGGCATCGCTACTGCTCCTATTACAAGTGCTCCGGGTATTTGCATTGCATGTGTTCTGTGCACAGGAGCTCCTTCCCCGGGGACCCCCAACCTTCCCCGGGGGACACCCTGCATCTGCAGAGGACCAGCAGCATCACTCGCTGTGGCTGAGGATCAGGTATCGAGCTTGTTTTAAAAAACAAAAAAACCAAAAAAAACCCCATTAGAAATAAAAATACATGGCAAAAAGAATGAAATTTAAACCAAGATATAAACAGGTGAGAAATGAGGATGCCTTTGTGCAGCTCCAGCGGTTATCTCGATGTTTCTAGTCTGAGACAATCCAGCCTATTATACTTATGCCTAGGCTAATATGGCACTAAATGGGTTCCAACTGCTGCCTCCCTCGCCTGGAACGTTCTCTAATGGAGCTTTTTTTTTTCCATTTTAAGTCACATCCAATTAGATGTAATCGCTATAAACGGGAGGGGCTCTACCCATACCCAGCAAAGACGGTGCTTTGGAGAGCAGCGGTTTTGCTCCGGGACCCCCAAAATGCCCACGCCAGCTCCCCAAGCATCGGTTCGCACGAGAGCATGACTATAGGTTTGCTCTCCTTGCAGGCTTGGGCCGCTCCTGATGGGCTCGAGCATCCCAAAAAACCCCCGAGAAGATGCTTTGCAGGTGGGGGGACGCAGAGGAGGACCCCGCCGGAGAGCAAGGATCCAGCGGTGCCGTGGCTGAGCACACACTCACCGAGTCCGGGGATCCCCCGGTCCCCGGGTTTCAGAGCCGCCACACGACGCCCGACCTCCAGCACTTCCCCGACACCTTCGTTCCCTCCCACGGCTGGCAGCGGGGAGAGGATGGCGTAGGTCCCTGCCGGGAAACCAGAGGTGAGCTGTGGAGCCCGTCATACCCCAGACCTCCCCGTCCCAGGAGCCAGCTCCAAACCCTCCAAGACATCCCGCCGGGAGCATCACGCAAGAATTAATACGCAAAAAAGATGCAGCCGGCGCGTTATCTTGGATCATATTGATGTCGGCGGGGGTGATGGGGGCTGCCAACACCCCAGACCTCCCCGTCCCAGGAGCCAGCTCCAAACCCTCCAAGACATCCCGCCGGGAGCATCACGCAAGAATTAATATGCAAAAAAGATGCAGCCGGCGCGTTACCTTGGATCATATTGATGTCGGCGGGATTGATGGGGGCTGCCAACATCTTGACGTGGACATCGGAGTCCCCCAGCTCGGCCACCTCGAGGTCCTTTAGTCTGAGACACAAAGGAAAAGTGCATTAATGCAGGCTTGGCTGATTCATGCACCTTGGTTTAGGCTGGAAAGAGACGCCTGTATCACCTACACAGCACGTTAGACTTAAAATAAACAGCACCGTATTCCCCACCTCATCTATATTGCTGTAGCCTGGTCTCCTCCAGTGAAGAAACCCAACATCCAACTTAGACGTCCCCATCGAGCCTCCTCTGTCCCCAGGGAGCCGCAGGTAGCAATGCCCGTATCCACCCCCAAACCTCACACCCTTAACCGGGGTTAGGAAAAAACCCTAAATACTCCTTGCAGAGAAAAAAGCCCCTCCAAGAGGGATGACGTCCCCAACCCCTTTGCCACGAGGCTGTTTTAAACGCGATGAAGATGCTCTTCCACCGAGGAAAGAGCGGGGCTGGGTAATTTAGCTCATCTCCCTCCCACAAACGCATCCTCCCGGTGTGCACGGCCCCGGGGGAATTGCAATATAAAACTTTCGGGATACCTTGGGTTTTGCAAGGGGAGGGAACAGCTCCTCCAGAAAACCCAGCAGCACCGTGACACAAACCAAGGGGAAAGAGGAACCGGGGGCTCGATAACTACCTGACCCACCTCCCAGCCAGGGCAAACCCATCCAGTTGTGCCCGTTTGCAAGATGAAGGCAATTTTCACTACATTTAAGGCTGCCAGTTTTAAGAACGGTTACTTGCTGCAACTACACGCCGCTAAGTACATGTCATTCGGCACAATACGCCAAATTTCTTTTCGTGGTTTGGCCTGTGCTGGCCAAGCGGTTTCCCCCTTCCCTCCTCCAAGCTGCCCGGCTGATTTGGAGACGACTTTGAGGTTTGAATTAAATAGCACCGTGCGCGCGTCAGAAGGCTTTTAGCACACGGGGATTTGCATCGCCGGCTGCAGCTCTGGCTATAGGTCCTACGTACGTTCCGATAATGGTTTTGGGTGAGGGCATCAGGCTCCAGCTCTTGCTTTCCGCAGCAGCCACCCAAACAGAAAGCCCACAGCCTGCATCCTTGCTGAGCACCCTTGCTATTCGGGTGCATCCCCAAGCACAGAAATCCTCCGTCCGCATCATGCAAATGCCCCCGTTTGCCATCACTCGGCCTGTCCCAACCCTGCACACCCATCTCAGGAGGTCTCCGGCTTTTGCAAGTATTTTCCTCTCCTAATTAGCAATTAGGACGATGAAATATGAGGGACGCTCCCAGGAGGGTCCAAAAAACCTCACTTGGAGTTTGGCGTTAGCGAGGTGCAGGATACGGCCCTGCAACTGCTGAGTATGACTAAGAGTCCTGACTTTGGTGGATTTTGCTCAAAACCGTGTGTTTTTTGGCAAGGTTATGAATTCCGAAGCCAGGTGTGTGTCTAACATCCAGGCAGGAGGCAGCAGCGGCTGCTGTGCAAACCCCCCGCCAGAATCAGCAGGACGAAATTAGCTCCTGGCAAACCCGCTTCAACCCCAACCGCAAGGCTTCGGTGGGAAAACACGGTGACTCCATCCCGTTTTAAGGTTTAAAAAAATTAAAAATAAAATAAAAAGCAGCATTACAAGACGCTGGGCCCCACGTGGAGGCATTGCTGCCATCGGGCGCCCGTGCGTCTGGCTCCCCGGCCCCCAGCAATGCCGTCTCCACGCTGTATGTATTTTTCTGCCTTGTTAGGCAGCAAATTAAATCATTTTGGGTTTTGCCGCCCTCTGCATATCCGACTAATTGAAAACCCGTTCCTTCGTCTTAAATGAGGTTAAAGATTGAGGTTGAAGTTAATACCACGCAGCACCCCTGCCAGCACTTTGGGCACAAACCCGCCGCTTAGATTTCCAACCCATTAAAAAAAAATGAGATTTATATTAGACATACGGACAGATTTTTGATGGAGGCTGCTAAAAGCCAACCACCCAACAAAATCCCACGTCACCAAGCAAAGTAACGCTCACTAATCTTAACAAATTCAGCAGGTTGCGTAGAAAAGCTGGTGTTTCAGCTGGCTGGGGGTTTTACAGCTCGTCCTGCCCTGCTTTTGCTTTACGGGAACTCGGGTATTTTCAGAAATCTGCAAAAAAAGAGAAGTCACGAAGCACAAGACCGGCCTTGCACAAGCAATGGGGCGAGGGCAGCAAATCTCAGGAGCCGTCAGTGGTGATAAGCACCCTTGCACAATTAAACGGTCATAAGAAAAAGCAATCATCCATCCCCCAAAAAAACCCTGGGGGTTCGGTGTCTGGATGCACCCGGATAACGTATCAGCACCTCCTGCATTGACCTGAGCAGGGTCAGCAAGTCCTGGAGGTCTCCTCTCTGGAAAAAAAGGCATAAAATCCACCAAAATGGGACTTTCCCCTTGCGAGGTTTTTTGGCCGTTCTAGAAGGAAAATCCCACGGCGACGCCGAGCGCCAGGCGCTGTCCCCAAAAACCACGTGCGATGCCGATGGGCACGACACCGGCTTGGTCCCCTAATTGGGACCTCAAAGAGAAACCCCATCAATGGGATGCAAGCGAGGACGAAGCCGGGGCGCAGCGATGCCGGGAGCTCGGATC